CTGACAAATTATTAGTTGACAAAGGTGTTCGGCAGGGATGTGTCTTAGCCCCACTACTTTTTAATTTATTTTTAGCGGACCTGCCTTCCTCTCTTTCTGCTTCTACTAATGCTGCACCCTCTCTTAATGGTTCCCCAATTTCTGTGCTTTTGTACGCGGACGACGCAGTCCTATTATCTCTAACAAAAGCTGGTCTCCGTCGTACCCTATCCAAATTTCAAACTTTTTGTTCAGCTAACGACCTGGTTATAAATGCTGACAAGACTAAAATAATTAACTTTTCCAACTCTGTATCACTATCTCCCTGGACAATCGGAGCACAAACCTTTCAGCAGGTTTTATCCTTTAAATATCTAGGTATCACTCTGCATCATAAACTCAGTTGGCGTCCCCACAAAAAATTGGTTCTATCTTCCTCTAGCCTCCATCTTAATGCCATCTCAAAATTTCACTACTCATCTGGCAATCAATTTGTGCCTGCAGCGTTGCTTATTTTTCGGACTAAATTGCTTTCCCACTTACTATATGGAACTCCTATTTGGATTGAGGCCATAGATCACGATGTTGACACTTTGGCAGCCGCCTTCTTCAGGAAAATCTTAGGAGTCCCCAACATGATTCGTCTTTCAACTTTAGTTTTGGAATTGGGTACCCATCTCCCTTCTACCCTTGCTTGGTCCACCACATTTAAATATTGGCTTCGTTTACATTTAAACTCTAAGCCCAATTCCTTACTATACACAGACAGAGCAGGATTCCGTTTTTCATGCTCCCCACCCCCACCCTTGTCAGAAAGCAGAGGTGAACCAGCAGATTCGGTTTCCCTTTAATAGCACAGATGTACAGAAGGTTTCCAGAGCTGCATCGTCATTTCCTACATCTAACTCTCTAGACCCATCCGCTTGGGGCACTGTAAGCATGCAATTAGCTTCATTCTGATTTGTATATGTACTGCGTGGCCCACAATAGCAGTGACCAAGTCTGCAGGTACAGGATGCGTTGGTACCGAATACGTATGCAAATGCACAGAACGCTAACGGGCAGAATACACTTTTGTGTGCATTGCTCACAAAAAACCACAAACATCGTGGCCAAAATGCACTCGTATCATAGTGTTAACTGAATGAGAAATCGTTTAAGACATGTCACACCCCAAACTGTTAGCCACTTTTGAGTCTGGGAAGGAGGAGCACTAAAAATATATATTAATGAATAAAATATGATAGTAATACCATTATTAGACCAACCAAAGGGGTAAGGGTGTGAAATAGATGCAGGCTTTGAAGGCTCTAGAGACCTCTTAGGTATGATGTTCACAGACTCATAGAATCGTGGAGTTGGAAGGGCCTTATAAAGTAATCAAGCCCAACCCTGTGCTCAAGGCACGAATCCATATCAAAGCAGATCTGACTGAGGCTGGTCCCATTTTCTCTTGAAGGCCTCCAACGTTGGAATGCTCACTGCTTTCCAAGGTAATGGGTTCAATTTTTGTATTGCTCTAACAATTAGAACATTTCCCCTGATATTCAGCCCAGATCTAAATGTTACAAAAAGCTGGCAGAGTAGGCGTGGAGGATACCTTATCTTACCACGGAATAGTGGCTACTAATCTTAGTGGAACTGAATTCTGCATGAAGGTGCAATGAGACACACAGGACCTGGTAGCTTTCCATGTGACGAGGGGCCAAATACAACTTGTGTTGCAGCCCCTCTGTTCTACCATGTTGTTCAAGGGGGTCTGAAGGAATTATTTTCAGGTGACTGAGAACAAAGTAGCATGGTGGTTTCTGAGCATAATTAGCACACACCTCACCTACTACTGTAATTGCTAGTGAGGTCTAATGGTTAAAAGTTCTGGCTTCATCTTAAGAAATCCACATTAAAATTCCAACTACGTCATGGAACTCTCCAGATAATTTTCCAATAGCAGTTGAAGAATCAGGCAAGTCATCTTGAATTCATTGGAAGGAAGATGGAATATAGCTCTGATGAATCCTCATGTCCTTTCCCACATCCCACTTGATTTACAAGAATATATATAGTTGTGTATAAACCCACAGCCTCAATATAACACTTTGTATCTGAAGAAGTTACTTGAAAACTGTGAAAGGTCACGCAGAAATAAATCCGCTAGTCTTAAATGATGGAGGCACTTTTTTTTGGTTTATGTTACACATCTCATCCAGCGGGCTGTGGTCTGCAAAAACGTATGCCAGATAAAACATGTTAATTGTCAAGAAGCCACACACCTATTTCTCGGTTTTGCTGCAACAAACTCATGTGGCCGCTCTACTGGAAGATGAATCTTAACATCACAGAACTGGAAAGAAAGCTAAGAGTCACTGAGGCCAACCTGCTACTGTGAAGCAGGGCGCCCACGACGGAAACATCCTTTCAAATGGACATCCATCTCTCCCTGAAGAGCCTTCTCCAAAGGAGGAGACACCACCATCTTCCGTAGTGGCCTACTCAACTATCAAACAGCCCTTAGCACCAGGAATGTCTTCCTAGGAATAATTTAGTTGGAATCTTTTTGGTTATTTGAATATTAAAGTCAAAAGGAAGGAAGGACAGAGATAAGCTCATGTTGTTGTTTTTCCAGCTGAACTCCCAGGACTGACGTTGCCCACTGAATCCTACCTAGAGGGGCAGCCCGTTCACCTGCCAGCAGGAGAGGACGTGGCATGCTGTACTTTCTCAGTGCACGGCTGGTGCCCAAAGTCAACAAGGTCAAGCAAAGGCTGGGGACCATAGGGGACCACTGAGTTCCATACCCTGCCATTTACACCTTGTGTGGCAGGCCCTGGAAGTAGAGAACAGTGGCCACACTCTCCAGCCGTACTGCGGAACAGAAAGGAAGCCGCAGGGCACCTTCAAAAACTAACTGATCTCCTCTACCAGGAACTTTTGTTGGCGGCCGCTCATTTCATCAGCTGCATTCAGTGCTATCCTCTGCCGGCCAGAATCTACCTCTCTTTAGGAAGCTATTTATAGAGCTGATGTAGCATAGTGGCTAAGAATGAGATAGCAACCCTTGTGCATCTTCGCTGAGAAGTCAGGATGGGCCCCCTCTGGCCATTTGCTGTCCTTCTTCTGCCTTCAGTTTTTCAAGCACCTTCATTTGATAAATAAATGTAAATGTTAATGTCATTGTAAGTATATACATAGTATATACCCATACAACGCTTCCTTCTGTCCCAACTCTGGGAGGGGGTAGGGGGAAAACCTTGAAAATGGAATTGAAATTCCCCATATTTGAACCCAATCAAAGTCAACCAGGGCCAGCGGTCGAAAGCACCCCCCGTTCTGCCCAACCCTGCAAAAAGAAGACATGGGGAAACGTCAGGAGCTGGAGAGGTTCAAAAGGGTGAGCGAAGTGACGTATTGCAAACCCAAATAACATCTGTTACCCATGGGAAAGGAATGGAGCAGAAAAACAGGACTGTTTACCCAACGTCGTACCGTGACTGGATGACACCGTGAGAAGAAGAAGATAAGGGATATGCCAGCTAAGCTTGAAAAAGGAACTTTTGCCTGTGGACAATGATGATGAAGTAGGGTACAATATGGCTTAGATTGTTTAGACAATATGGCTTAGTTTATAGAGAGATGTGATTAATAGCAGTAGTATAATTAATAGAATAGGATACAGTGGGGTCTCTACTTAAGAACTTCATCCGTATTGCAAGGTGGTTCTCAAGTGGAAAAGTTCTTATGTAGAATCTGCATTTCCCATAGGAATGAATTGAAAACCATTTAATCAGTATCTGCTCTTTTCCGTCCATAGAAACTAATGGGAAGCTGCTATTCCGCCTTCTGCCACTAGAGGGGGATATTTTTTCTTTTTTTCTTAGGTCAGG